TCACTAGAAGAATCCACTTAATTCAAGAAAGTACGTTTTTAGTATAGCTTTATTATTCTAACAAAAGTGTCCTATCATAGCCAGTCAAAAGAAGAAATATATGCCAGCAAGATGACTCAGTAGTTAAAGGATCTTGCTATCAAATTTAGTAACTTGTTTAATCCCTGGAACCCACATCATGGGAAGAGAGAAACAGCTCCCTTAAGTTGTCCGCTGACAGCCACACATACACCGTAGCACGTGCACACACACAAGGGTAAACATACAGACATGCTAAGTAAATAAGCAAATCAATCAATAAATAAATTTAAATTTTTTGATAAATATGTAGGACTGAATATATAAAGTTCTATATGTAAGCCTTCATTGTTTTCTTTCCATAAAATCAAGATACATTACCACCACTCACATGCCCAACCTGTGTAGATAAGAATTTGCAGTATTACAAGTCAAGGAAGCACACCCAAAGTTCTATATCAAGAGTTTTTATTGATGAGTTATTATGTGTACAGAATTGATTGAATTATCCCCCAATATAACTTCAAATCTCCGGTTCTTTTCCCTGCCTAGATAGTAACCTTACTTCATGTGACCGAAGCTGGTTCTCTAACCCCATGCTTGTCTTCATTGTTGTGTGGCAGCCCCATCCTGGGTCACCTTAGCAAAGAAATCTGAGATTGCAGAGATTTGGAGGCTTCTGCCCCGGTGACAAAGACAAAAAGCCAGCCTTGTTTCTTTTTACGTCAGCTGTGGAAATCTAAGTTGCCCCCTTTCTGTGTTTAACAGTGTTCAGTAAACTACAATTTCCTCACTTGCCTTTCAAGTAGAGAAAAGTTGAAAAGTCTATACAGGAATTTCATAATGATTATGGTATACTTTTTAATCAGTTTTCTTTTTTATCAGAAATTACTTAAGTTTTCAGAAATGTTTTAACACTTCTGTATAAAGTTGGTAATGACAATGGAGTGATAGCAAATTATAGTACTTTAATGTGGTATTTAATTACTTGGACTGTTTGTCTTTTACCTCTCAGTTGTACATCTCATATGTTTTAGGTATGACATTAGCCTTTCCAGCTTCAGTTCATGATGCTGTGGTTTGCAGTAAAACATTTCAGATCCTATATAAAAACGAAGAAGTTGTTTTAAATGATGTCATGATCTTCAAAGTTAAAATGTTGTTGGATGAAAGAAAGGTAAATATCTCTTCATTTCTACTTACTATAAGACTTCAATCCATATTTGTAACATTTATAAATATTAGGCATCTTATAAATTTCTCTTTAGATTGAAGAAACTCTTGAAGAAATAAATTTTCTGTTATCCTTGGATCTACATTTTACAGATGGAGATTATTCGTAAGTAGGCTGGCTGTTCAGAGAACTAAACATCTTTAGATACTTGTGGCTTTATTTGACACCATTTTCATTTTTGGAATCTTTTCTCCATTCTTGCCTCTTTTAAAGTGGTTGTATTTGTTCTGATAAAGTCTATTGAGAAGGTTGGGACCACACTTTCATGCCTATACACCAGATAGTGAAATCAAACAAGAAGAAAAATTATGAATTTCTTCCCTAGACTCTAAAAATACAGTTGCTATAGTAATAGGCACTTAACTGACTTCTCTTCTATTGGTCTTGGATGAATTTTTCTTGGCATTAGTTGTAGCTTCTCTGGGTGGGTCTGCATTGATACTCAAAATGGTCAAGACTGGTGACACTCGTGATGGGTGCTTCTAATTCCTCAATTCTAAACCTCAGAGTTCCTGAGATACCAGTTACCCTGAACTTCCCTACACACCTAGACATACAATCATACATTCATTTAAAACAAGGATGGTATTTCTGAGAGCTTTTCCTCCATTTTAAGCAAGTCTACTAAATACTTCTTGACTATATAATATACAGCAGTCAAAAGTCTAAGTGTCCTCTTTATTATCATGGCATGATAATACTTTTATATAGTTACTACTGCTCCTTTTTGTACTTTTTAAAACCAAGTCATAAAAATTCCTTGAGTAGAAGAAGCTGAAGTTAGTAGGTAAAATTCAGTAGCTATAAGTAGTTATATGCTATGCATGGATTTTTCAATGGTGATCTGAATATAATTTTTATGACTTTTTTTCAGTGTTTTTTTTTTTGTGTGTGTAAATGTGACAGACTATAATAAAAGTGCTTTTACTGACTAGAAAGTGGTTTGTTTATGAGACCAGATCTCACTATGCATTTTATAAATGTTCAGGTTCTCTAAGAAACACTTGAAATTTCATGCAGTAAAAATAATTTGACATACTTTGGGGATTTATTATAGTAAGATTTGACCTTGTAAGAAATAGAATTGTCCCTGAAGTAAAATTTAAAATGGATATTAATTATTGAGCTATCAAAAAGAACTTGTTTTTATAGATATGTTAGTGAAAACATAGCCCAGTCATGCACAGTTAGAAAGCTGTGAGTAGAATCTAGCTGTTTTTATATGGTCGCCTCATCAGTCTGGTGCTTGTAAATCACTCTCATTGTAAGCTGAAATAATTAAGCCTTTAAAAAAAGGTTTACATGATTCATAAAATATTAGCCTTTACTAAATACTTCCTAATTCCTTGAAAATGTACTGCTTTTTTTGTAGGGCAGATGATCTGAACGCCTTACAACTAATAAGTAGTCGAACGTTGAAGCTGCACTATAGCCTCTCTAGAGGACTGCATCATCATGTGAATGTCATGTTTGATTATTTCCACCTCTCCGTTGTGTCCGTTACAGTACATGCATCTTTGGTTGCACTACACCAGCCACTAATAAGGTAAATCTATTGGAAACATGCTCCAACAAATAACAAACTGAAGTGATAAAGAATATTAAGTACATAACTATTGATACATTTTCAAGAGCATGGGACCATTAGTATCAATAACATTATTACATAAGTATGGAATAAATGGAGTGACTTTTATAATTTAGTTAATTGACAAAGTAAGAGGATACAATACAGAAATAACCATGCAACCTTGCTTAGTCTCTACCTGGGTTAATTTTTAATTTATTTTAGTTTGTGGTATGCTGTACTGTTAACTTGTTCTGTGTAAGAGAATGTGAATGTATTCTTAGTGTTCTTTATCTCTTTCCTAGATCCTCTCTATCTCTACTTATTAACTGTCATATAACCTGTAACTCCAGCTCCAGGGGGAATCTGTCACCTCTGGGAGTAGCTGCTTTCATGTGTACATACCTGCTCCACATAATTTAAAAAATGAAAATAAGTCTTCAGATAAAATGTATTATTTTAGGTAACACATTTATTGAGTAATATTTTTTCTAACTACTTCCATGGGGAGAAAAAAAATATGTTTCATCATATAATCATGATTTGTAGTTCATTAAATAAAAATTTTTAGTGATGTAGGCAGTAGGTAGAACTCTCAAATCTAAAAATACCCCTTATAGATTTGATTTCTGAACTGGCTACAATTTCTAACACAAATCTTATTGTAACAGCTGTTATGGGTGACACTTAAGCAGTGAGTGCATGTGTGTGTGTGTGTGTGTGTGTGACAAATAACGTACACATAATCTGACTTATCAACTAAGAAGGTGAGTTATAGAATTGCCCTTAGAATTTGGTGGTCCTGGAGTACTAAACACTTGCCTGGCATTTGTAAGGTCCTTGCTTCAGTTCCTAGTTTCTCAAAAGGAGAGAGAAATAACCTCAAGTACCTAGCCTTAGAGTCCTTAATATTCATTGTACTTTTTATAGATTTTAATTATTAAAGGATAATTTAAGAATACTATAGAACTTAGAATGCTGCAGAAACCCTTTTCATTTTTGAGGTTTTTCTTCTGTGAATATCCTACATGAAAATAATTGATGAGACAGTAATAGCATGCCTCCTGTCCCTCCAGCTTTCCTCGCCCTGTGAAGACTACTTGGTTGAATAGAAATGCACCAGCACAAAACAAAGACTCAGCGATTCCCACTCTGGAAAGTGTAGTCTTTGGTGTTAACTACACAAAACAGTTGTCGCCAGATGTAAGCATTGAATATGTGTATAACCTGTTTCATATTTTATTTTCCCCCTATTTTAAAAAGAAATGTTTTTTAGTATTTTATCTGTAAGTGAATGTAGTTTCTTTGATGAATTATTTGAGTTCAATAACTTAAAGATAAGTAGAATCAGAACCAGTTGGTTAGTTTAATTATGTATTATGAACATCAGCCTCTTATTATAAAACATTACCAGGTTTAGTGAAGAGATCTTTGATAGCCATTGACAGTGACCGACCATTGTAAACCTGTTATTGTCACCCATTGTTCCTTTAGCAAAACTGCTAGGAATATCCAAAGAAGCCTTTTAAGAAGAATGGCAGACTTGAGAGTAGGCTCCGAGTAGCATGATCATGGCCATTCTTAGGAAAGAAGAGATACATGTAATGACTGTGAAAGCAGTGTCTCCAAAACAGTTGTCATAGGAACTTCATCATAACAAAAAGTCACAGTTTCATCAGTGTGTTATACAATCCATGACTGAAATTGCTATGGTTACGCTTTATATTTAAATCACTTAGATGAGCATCAAAATACTGATGAATTTCTTGCATGTTTTAGAATAACTACCTGGCAATGGGTTGGTTGGTTGAATTTTTTTCAGGGTATCAAGTGTGATACATTAGATTTTTGTTTACTAACATTTTGTCTTCCAAATGTGTTCTTTCCAGGGTTGTAGCTTCCTCATTGCAGAACCCTTCCTACATCATGCCTATCACTTTCATTATACACTTTGTGCCACTTTGCTGCTAGCCTTCAAGGGATTGCACAGCTACTTCATTACGGTAACAGAAGAGATTCCCTCTTGTCAGAAACTAGAACTGGGTATGTTAAAAGTGGCCAGACCTCTCCTAGTCTCTCTCTCCACTACTCTCGCTAGGGAGCAGCTTTGCACAGCTTTCCTGACCTGTGTGCTTCACTTTTCTCTCTCAAGTCTATCTTTTCTACCCTTGATAATCACTTTGTGAAGTTGAGCACTTTCTTAGAATGTGGAGAAATAACTTTTTGTGCTAAGATTTAAGTGAATCTTTAAGTAGATTTTTAAAATAACATGTCATGTCAGTATTCTGTTTCTCTTAAAGTTTAATTTAAGAGTATGCTAGAGAATAGAGTCTTGGGAAGGCAAGTGCAGTCCACATTTCAAGAGCCTAAGCAGGTACAACGCTTAGACAGTTTTTGTGCACGTCCATGAGGATGTAAGTTATTCCAGGGCTCTATTTCTAAGAAGCAACATTGTTGAGTATTTTAACATTTTAAAACTACTTAAATCAAGCCTCAGTTTTTCTCAGAAGTTTCATGGGCAGTATTTATCACTTGTTTGTTTATTACTTTTTCAAGCCAGGGCTTCTCTGTGTAGCCCTGGTGTCCAGAACTCACTCCGTAGACCAGGCTGACCATGAGTCCACAGAGATCCCCTCTGCCTCCCAAATGCTGGAATTAAAGATGTGCTCCAGCACTGCCTGGCTTCATGGTCAACTTATAAATCTCAGTTTTCAAATATTAGCGTATAAAAAAATTTCATTTAATTATCTTGGCAGAGTGAGATGTTTTTATCATTATTTCAATAAGTTAGGAATTTTTGAAATTTTATTTAGCCACTATTTCTGTTATAATTCTTTGTACCTCAAGGGTTTAAGTATTTAACAAATACCAATACATTCTCTAAAATGTTAACTATTATCTTAAATAGTTTTGGATTTGAGACTAGGTGACGGATTTTGTTATTTTTTTTTAAGTTGTGTGTTTGAGGTTATAAAACATTGCAAGGTGTGCTGGAGAGACAGCTCAGTGATTAAGAGCACTGGCTTTTCCTCCTAAGAATCCAGGTTCACTTCCCAGCACCCACCATGTGGATTCTCCAGGTAAGGAGATGGAAGAATATAAGTGTTGTGTATGACAGGTCAGAAACTAAGGGTAAGATCTCTCGAAAGCCAGAGGTGTACAGTTGCACTAGCAATGGTAATGTCATTGGACTTCAACGTAGCTGCTGTGCCAGGCAGAGTATTAGGTACAGATGAAAGGACAGAACTCCATCGTAAATAACCCCCCTGACGCCTATTCTCTCCCTCTCCTCCCAGCAACAGTGATAACAAACCAACTTGTTGCTAGGGTGGACAGGAGAAATTCACACAGCAGTGCTCAGCGTCTTTTGGTTTTGCTAGATGGCCTGGGCCCTTAGAGGATCAGTGTGAGGATGTTTGACAGTATACAGTGTTCACGTAGATTTAACATATAGTCCTCGCCGGTAAAAATACACGTGTCACATTTTAAGGGAGGAAAAAGTATTTCTCAAAAACCAGGAATCATGTTTGTTGGCAAAATGTCTGACGTAACGAAACGAAAACATTTTTCTTGTCAAATAGATTAGACAGTGCTAGCACTATTTTTATTTTATTAACTTCAGCTTAATAATCATTGTGTTATAATCTCAAATTTCTTATGTTGTATAACTTTGGACTTATAGGTATAGTTTATAAAATTGCACATTTAAAAAAACCCTTATTTAAATTTAGGAGTTAGTTATTAAATGAGTATGAACATTATTCCCAATTACTTACTTTAAAATATTAGAAAACAAAATTCTAAAGTAAGCCCACACTTCAAATTTAGAAATAAAAAACTTAAAGAATAAGATTATTAATATATTGCTGAGCTATGGTGGTGCACATCCTTAATCCCAGCACTTGGAAGGCAGAGGCAGAGCAAATTCCAGGACAGCCAGGGCTACACAGAGAAGCGCTGTCTTGAAAAATTTAAAAAAGAAAGAAAAAATTGTTAGTCTACTATATATACTTACTGAGAATATATTTATTGAATGAATTAATTGGTAAAATAGCACTGTATGTTTTTTTTTTAATTGTGTTACTTGAAAAGTATAGCCCACCAGAGCAGCTTAGGATAGTTTCCTAGGGACTTTTTTAACATCTGGACTCATCTTCAATAAATATTTATTAGTATGTGTCCTTAAACCTTACTATGTATATTTTCTTTTCATTGTAGAGGAATATCTAAAAATACTATTAATTGTTTAAAATGTTTCACATTCTGAGATTATCAACAATATTTTTGTTGTAGTAAAATTGAATTGTGGACACTCATATTTCCATGTTATATAATGTACTACTTATTAGACATTATTGTGATCACTAGTTTTAATAAGGGAACATAAAGTAGCTCCTGATTAGAGAATATGTATTTTTTCTATCATTTAGTATTTTCCTAATGTTTCAAATAAGCATAAAGTTAAAATTCTTAAGCACTATGCTATGAAAAAACTAAACTCTTCCCTCTTTTAAAATAATACTTTGAGTTCCTTTCTGCTCTTTTGCCCTCTTCTTTTTTCCTAGATAAATGATGTACATTGTGTTTTGAGGAAATATCATTAACCACTGGTTGGATTCAAAGAGCTCCACTGTAAGGAAGCTCAAAAACAAGAGTCAGTTCTGGAGTCTGAGCCTGACACCTGCACTTGGGAAAGTGGGAAACTGAGACTCTTGCCAACACTGAAATTCTCAATTTATGAAACTAAAACATCAAAATAATAATGAAATAAGAAATATTGAGCGGCATAATTCAAATACTAAAAATAATTTACACTTGAATGTACATCATTTGTAATTCTAATAAGCTAATTAACCAATTGCCCTATCAACACTTATTAACAAGTTGGAAAATTCAAATAAGTTTTGTTGTAAAAGGAGTGTAGTAACTAGTGCTGTGTGCAACCCTTATAACTAGCCAAGGCCAGCATGCAGGTCCTCTATGAGCGCCTCCTCAGAAGAGCACAGCCAAGAGCCCAGAACGACACGCATGTAGGTATGTTTACAAATAGGTTAATTAAACTTTGTAAACAATGTAGTATAGTCCCAGCATTTTTATTTAAGAGTTCATATACATAATCAGTTTGGTTTGCACATAAGTTGGGTTAATTTAATTGATTTGTAATGTTGAAGTTTTTATTTAGAAGTAAAAGTGATAGTGTGAAGATCTCTCTGACCTTTCACATATTCTAGTTTTTATAATGACCACTTTTTAAAAACCATCTATGTCAGCAAAATTGCTGATTGAACAATAATTACTATTAGTGTTCTTTAAGCAATTTCAACTTTGGATAGGCCTAATACTTAATGAAATGTGCTTAAAAAGCTGAAGCTGGTTTTATGCTTTGAAAGGATAAAGAAGAGGGACACCCCAGATTGGTTTCATGGTTTTAGTTAATTTGCATATGTTTTCATCATTCTAGACTCTTAAAAATGATACTAAATATCTATTATCTAAATGTTACTTATATTAAATGAAGAGGTCCATTTATCTGACTTTGCACACTTTCATGTTATTTATACATAGTTTTTGGTAGAATTACAGAGATCCAACTGCCTCTACTTCCCAAGTGCTGGGATTAAAGGCATGAGCCCCCACAACCAGCCTCCATATTATATTTTAGACTTTTGTACTTGCATAGCAGTAGTAACTAGTTTGCTAACTTTCTGGAACTTTTTACTTGGCCTTGAATAATGGTTAATTTTTTAAGATTGTGGGTAGCTGTTGAAATTTTCAAATGAAATAAAATTGTGTTCTCAGTTGTTAGATGAACGAACCAAACTGAAACAAAGAAGTTAGTATTTCATAGTATTTCAGATGAATACTGGCTGAGAAAGATTTGAGCTGCTTAATTTTTCCTAAAACTATTCTTGAAATTCATTTATCACTAGAAAAAATTAAAGTTGAAATGTTATGCAAAGTGTTTCATTCTCATATGAAGTGATTGTAAAATTTAAATAAATCCATAGTATGAAATTGTGACCATTTGTGGCATACTTTAGCCTTCATTACAGTGATTAAAATCTGCTTCTAGTTTTAGTGTACTGCCAGCTGTCTGCTTAGCTTGTAAACATTCTGCATTCATAAAATGTTGCTTAATATAATTAAGACTTGTCTTAAAAGGGGAGTAGATTTTGATTTGTTAGAGAAAAGGCTTGGTTTAAAACTAAAACATAAGCTGTATGGTGGTGGCATATGCCGCCCAGCACTGAGGAGGCAGAGGCAAGCAGGCAGATCTCTGAGTTTGAGGCTAGCATGATCTACAAAGCAGGTTCCAGGACTGCTAGAGCTAAACCGAGAAACCCTGTCTCAACACAACAACAAAACCATAAAATCTGCAAAAGTTAGTTGTAAATACATAGCTCTTACCTGAGTATACCTCTTCACCTTGTAACCTAAGCTCTGATTACTGCTTTCAAAAATAATGTTCTTAAAGAGACATGTACTACAAGTAAGTTTATTGCATTATTTCTCTCAGCAAAACACTAAAAAAAAAAAAAAAAAGACCAATATTTTGGCAAAGACTAGAATAGGGAAAATTTTGGGGGTACCTCCATAAAAGAATGACCGTTAGCATTTATTGAAAGTGCTTAATCTACTGAGTAGATTTCCCCAGAAAAGTGCTGAGAAAACGATGCAAATATCAGAAATCGTAAAGTAGAATTATACTGTTGAAAACTTATATGTATATCATAGAAGGATATATTCTAGATTGTAATCTTGAACAATAGGTGGAACAAATGTCCTCAAGATAATTTGAATAAAATAGTGGGATTGATTTTATATTTCTATTAATTGTTATATCATAATGTATTTTTTGAAAAGAAAAATTATTATTTGTAAAGTGAGACAAAAATCTGTAAGTGGTCTTGAAATCATTATCAATTAGTTCAGCAGTTAAATTTAGCTTTTACTCCTTCTTTAAGATTTTTTTGGCTGAGGCTATCAGCCAGTGAGTAAGTGCTTGTTGCACAAGCGTGAGGACCTGAGTTAGGATCCCCAGCACTGAAGTCAAATCCAGGTTCAGCTGCTTGTACCTGCAGCCCCAGCAGTGGGGTGCAGAGACTGAAGAATTTCTGGGGTTTGCTGACTAGCCAGACTAGCTAAAACAGCGAGTTCTGGTTCAGTAGGAGAATCTGTCTCACAGAATAATGTGGCAGGCAAATCAGGAAAACATCCAGCTCTGACCTTTGTCTTACACACAAAGAATGTTTTCATGAAGTAGCTCACTAGCTGTAATAGGCATTTGGACTCTTAGATACAAACCTTAGAAAAATGTATCAGAATTTTAAAGTTAATTTTCTGAAATGGGATGTATAACCTAAATCCAATTTTAATGATTTTCTTACATCATAGGAAAAGATGATGAACAATGTGAAATTAGATTTAGTATATGGAATTTATGTAGCATTTGCTGTCGGGTTTTTATTTTAACTTAACATTAGAAGATACTGATGTTTCTGACAGTGAATTATTTTATGAAATCAGTTGCAACATGTCATAGGATGCATCCTTGCATTTGTGTGAGAATGATTTTTGTAATGAGCTCATTTTAGTTATACTCATTTTCCTAGTTTAAAATTTATATTTGAGACCTTGATGTAATTCTCTTCCTTTAAAAATAACTAATCTTTATGTTATTTGTTTCAGTGTTTTTCTTACCATTTTAATTATAAATTTCTTACTAGATGCTTAGAGCATACCTAAGTAAATCAGAATTATGTAACAAAAAATTACTTTTAACAATACACAATATTTTGTTAAATCAGGGATTAACTTTTTATTGCAAAAGATTTTGTCCTTCATATAATATTAAAGGTGGTTTCAGATCTAACACTGAAATCTTTCCTCTAATTAGTTTTTACCCCTTTCAGAGGAAATGGATGTAGAAGCTCGTCTTACTGAACTATGTGAAGAAGTTAAGGTACTTGAAATTTCTTTTTAATTCTCTTATTTGAGTGATTTTTGTTTTCTTTTTTTTGATGGATAAAACTAAACTTTATTGACTTTCTTTTCTTTTTTATTGATATTTATTGAGCTCTACAGTTTTCTCTGCTCTCCTCCCTCCCTCTCCCCTCCCCACTTCAACCCTCCCCCTAAAGTCCCCATGCTCCCAAATTACTCAGGAGAGATCTTGTCTTTTTCTACTTCCCATGTAGATTAGATCAGTGTAAGTCTCTCTTAGTGTCCTCATTGTTGTCTAGGTTCTCTGGGATTGTGGTTTGTAGGCTGACTTTCTTTGCTTTATGTTTAAAAACCGCCAATGAATGAGTACATGTGATAATTGTCTTTCTGTGTCTGGGTTACCTCACTCTAAATAATGTTTTCTAGCTCCATCCATTTTCCTGCAAAATTCAAGCTGTCATTATTTTTTCTGCTGTGTAGTACTCCATTGTGTAAATGTACCCACATTTTCCTTGTCCATCCTTCTGTCAGGGGGCATTTAAGTTGTTTCCAGGTTCTGGCTTTGACAAACAAAGCTGCTATGAACATAGTTGAGCACATGCCCTTGTGGCACGATTGAGTATCCATTGGATATATATCCAAAAGTGGTATTACTGAGTCTTGAGGAAGGTTGTTTCCTAATTTTCTGAGAAATCGCCACACTGACATTCAAAGGGGCTGTACCAGCTTGCATTCTCAGCCTTTTCCCCACAACCTCTCCAGCATAAGTTGTCATCAGTGTTTTTGATCTTGGCTATTTTTACAGGTATAAAATGGAATCTCAGAGTTGTTTTGATTTGCATTTCTCTGATGACTAAGGATATTGAACATTTCCTTAAGTGTCTTTCAGCCATTTTGGATTCCTCTGTTGAGAGTTCTCTGTTTAAGTCTGTACTCCATTTTTTTTTTATTGGATTATTTGTTCTTTTGATGACCAATATTTTGAGTTCTTTGTATATTTTGGAGATCAGACCTCTGTCTGATGTGGAGTTAGTGAAGATCTTTTCCCATTCTGTAGGCTGTTGTTTTGTCTTGTTGACCGTGTCCTTTGCTTTACAAAAGCTTTTCAGTTTCAGGAGGTCCCATTTATTAATTGTTTCTCTCAGTGTCTGCTGCTGGGGTTATATTTAGGAAGTGGTTCCCTGTGCCAATACATTCAAGTGAACTTCCCACTTTCTCTTCTATAAGGTTCAGTGTGTCTGGCTTTATGTTAAAGTCTTTGATCCAATTGGAGTTGAGTTTTATGCATGGAAATAAATATGGATCTGTTTTCATTCTTCTACATGTTGATACCCAGTTATGCCAGCACCACTTGTTAAATATGCTTTCTTTTTTCCATTTGATATTTTTTGCTTCTTTATCAAAGATCAAGTGTTTATAGGTGTGTGGATTGATATCCGGGTCTTCTATTCAGTTCCATTGTTCCTCTTGTTCTTATGCCAATGCTAGGCAACATTCAGTACTGTAGCTCTGTAGTAGAATTTGAAGTCAGGGATTGTGATGCCTCCAGAAGTTCTTTTACTGTACAGGGTTGTTTTGGCTATCCTGGGTTTTTTGCTTTTCCATATGAAGTTGAATACCATTCTTTCGAGGTCTTTGAAGAATTTTGCTGGGATTTTTATGGGCATTGCGTTGAATCTATAGATTGCTATTGGTAAGATTGTCATTTCTACTATGTTAATTCTATTTTCTATTCTAGTCCAAGAAAATTCAGTTGCTTATTTTTTTTAACTGCAAAGGCAAATTGGGCAATCATGGTAGAACCACAGATTAGATGGGCAAAGGCATCTAACCTCAATATAAAGCTAACATATCCTTTGAAAAATTTATTGTTTTGCACGTAAAGAGCAATTAGCTGCAAATATATACACTTTCTTCTGTGATTTTTATTTAATGAATTTCTGGACAGGTTTTTAAAATACTTGTATAGTTTTGTGGCACTACTTTTTTATCTGTTAACATTTTTGGTTAGTATGCAGAGGCGTCCTTGTGCCCGTCTTTTACAAGTATCATCATACTTGTTGCCCTTCATTTCTGTACTCTGCTGATAGCAGTCCTTTAAAATGATACTCTTTTACTACAGCAGATCAGCTTGTGTTTTAAGCCACTTTTCTAGTTCATTCTTACAGTTAAATTGGATACATTTTTCTTTTTTGATCAGGAAACTCTCTTGATTATTTTAAGTTCACTGTATATTCACTGTTCACCAGCTGTGTTAATAAGAGAAATCAGAGGCATGAATCAAATGGAAGTACACATTTGGTTTGAAGTGTATTTCTCTATGTAAGTTTCAATGAAAACTGGATTCTTTTTGTGAAGGGTCTCTTTAATAATTGTAAGTATGCAGGATATGCAAAGATGCAATTTTCTATGCTGTCACAGGCTTTCTTTATAATTCAAATGACCATTTTCTTTAAAAGTCACCAGTATAAGATGGATGGTGGTGACACACACCTTTAATCCCAGCACTCGGGAGGTGAGGCAGGCAGATCTCTGTGAGTTCAACACCAGCCTGGTCTACAAGAGCTAGTTCCAGGACAGGCTCCAAAGCTACAAAGAAACCTGACTCAAAAAAAAAAAAAAAAAAGAAAGAAAGAAAGAAAAAAGAAAAAACAAAGTCACCAACATAGATTTGGAGAGATGGCTGGACAGTAAATAACTTTAGCTGCCTTTCCAGAGCAGTGGAAGTTCCGTTCCCAGCACCATTCATGGCAGTTTACATTGATCCAACAGCCTCTTCTGACCTCCATGAGCCCTCAACACATATACATGGAGGCAAAACACTAGTTGATATAAAATAAATAAATAAAGGGTTTATATATGATTTTTATAAATAGTTACCCAAAGGGCCGTATCCATTTAAAAATAATTATAAGAATGTGCAGTCAATATGAACAAATCTAGTCTTTCAGAAACTAAAGGGGGGAGATTGTTTTTGATTTGTGTTTTTTTTTTGTTTTGTTTTGGTTTGGTTTTGGTCTTTTAGTACTTAAATCTTTTTATTCCCATTTCTTTCTTTTGGCTGACTTTTATTCATATATCTGTTATATTTTTCTTCCATATGAAAGATGTCATGATCCTTTTACTAAAGAAAACCTCCATCTGCCTTTACCAGCCCACATCACCACCATCTCTCAGCATCAGGCATTAACAAGACACGTTGCCAAATCCACTTCTTTGTGAATCGACACGTGAGGTTTTAATTGTGTTGTCACAGCTTTCTCTTTTCCCGTCAGTAGAGTTAACGCTCTTTTGCTGACTCCAGATAATGAGTCTTGATTTCATGGCCCAGCATGCATTGTTTGTGATTCATGTCAGAGTTAGCTGCTGGTGGACCTCCTCCTCTCCGATCTGTTCCAGCTCATCAGCATCCATTTCCATGGCGGACATGCTTAGTTTTCTCTTTAAGATTTTATTGTTTTACTTTATGTGTATGATAACCTAGCTAGCTTGCTGAAATTGCCTCCGTACCCGTCTCAGTTAAATATAAAAGCTTTATTCAGCTGGTGTCTCTCCCTCAGCGCACATGTTCACACTGGCCTTCATGCTGATGTTCTTAGTAGTGCTGTCAAGAGGTCTGATGCCGGCATCAGGGAGCAGTAAAGCTGTTGTCCTTGTTGTTCTAGAAAGTAGAAAACCCTGATGAACTGGCAGAACTGATCAACATGAACCTTGCACAACTTTGCTCACTTCTCATGGCTTTATGGGGACAGTTTCTGGAAGTCATAACACTGCATGAAGAATTAAGAGTACTATTAGCACAGGAACACCATACCTTGAGGGTAAGTTAAAGAAATGCCCTTTTATTGAATATTATATATCTTTAGGAATTTCTTACAAGTAAAAATATTCTTACTTAATAATGTAGGTAAGTGTAGAAGAGAGACATCCTTATGTTGTTGTTTGACTCTAAAGCTGATAGTAAAGTAAGACAGTTCAGCAAACATTACATCTCAGTGCCAACTCTGCTAATAGAAAACTACCTGAAGGTGAATAAAATATGAATATATATGATAGGAGATAGTGCCTAGAACCCAAAAGCAGGAATTAGAAATAATTAACCAAATAGGCATCTCTGATAGTCTCTCCTCCTTTTATCTTTGTTTTGGTTTTTCATTTCCCTAACCTCTCTCACCAGAATATATATTAGGAATTTTGCAAGTTGAATATAGACCTACAGTGGCCCTTATACAGAAAGTTAAACTATTTAATCTATAGCATGTACTAGCTACTGAATTCTGTGTAAGTTAGATCATGTACTGTGTTTGTCCTCTTATATGCTACTCTTTTAAGTATCTGTCAGTTGTTGATTTTTCTCATGTGTTATGTACCATTTGAGTATATACACAATTTGTTTTGTTGATAGACATCTAGATTCTTCCTGAGTTTGTAACTATTGCAAACCAAGAACAGTTTCTCTGAAGAGGACCATTTATCCCTAATACTTGAGTATGCATTTCTCAAGATCAGGAACACTTACCCATTATAGTAGTCAACCTTAGAAATTTTATACTGATATCATAATGATGTGTAGTATCTGGCCTATCTTAATTAAATCTGTTGTTGGTGTGATCAGATACCCTGATAGAGGCCACATAAGAAAGAAGGGGTTTACTTTGTCTTAAGGTTCCAGAGAGGCCACAGCCGGTGTGGCTTGGAAAGCATGGCGTCGGAAATGTGCAGCCTGTGTCAGTCATGTGGCATCAGCCGTCTGAAAGCCGAGAGAGTGGGGACAGACTGTAAACCTTCAAGACTTGCCCTGAGTGACATAGTTCCTCCAGCAAGACTTCACATCCTAAAAGGTCCATAACCTTCCAACAGTGTCAGCCATCTAGTGACCATGTCACATGATGCTACAGTCAAACACATGAGCTACAGTCAAAGCACAATGTGGCCCGTATTTAAATTTTACCAGTTGTTATGTGCTATTTGGCAACCCCGCCCCAGTCCACATTTGCAGGATCAGACCTAGATTCACACTTGGCATTCTCTTTTAATGGCCCTTTAATTTCATATAATAATCTCATGTCTCTGTCCAGTGGTTGCATAGAGTACCCTCAGTTTGCTCTCTCCTTCCTAGTAAATAGAGTAGAATGGCACACTGTAAGTAGGGATGTTGTAAATCATTTCTTTTTTCAAAAATTTGATAGATGACATTTTTCTAAGGAGTTTTTTTTTATTTTGCCTGCACTTTTAAATTTATTATTATCACATAACAGAATACTTCATTTTTAAAAAATATCTGACTGATCTGTAGTGTTTTCCACCATTTATTACTAATATTTTTATGCCCTTATCGTTTTAGGGAATGGTCTTAAAGGAAGTCTTTCATTTTATTAGCATTTTTAATGGACTATTTTTTCATGTTTTTACTTCTCTCTTTGATGTGTTTTCTGTTTTATTATTATTATATTTCAATAAGTAGGGTTATCGTATTGAAAACTATTTTTTTTGTTTGTTTTTCAAGACAGGGTTTCTCTGTAGCTTTGGTGCCTGTCCCGGAACTAGCTCTTGTAGACCAGGCTGGCCTTGAACTCCCAGAGATCCGCCTGCCTCTGACTCCCGAGTGCTGGGATTAAAGGCGAGCGCTACCACCGCCCAGCTGAAAACTAATTTTTTAGGGTTCTTCCTTAGAAATCCTTTAATAAAAATTAGTTGCTTCTCTAAAAGGCCTAATATGAGATTTTGCAGTGGATAAAATAGCATAATTACAGTATCCACCTTACTAATGATTTTCTTTAGCTTTGTATAGTAATTTAAAATGAATAGCTCAATAAATGCAATCTGTATCTTTCAGACAATTTTCATTAACATTTTTTACCACCAAGATTTTGAACAGGGATGAATTTTAGTAGAAATATAACCAGTTCTCGTGGTGTGCTCACAATGCTGAACTGCCCTTTACTCAGTGCCCTTTGGAAATTAGGACTTTTGTGAGGTCTTGGGTGCCTCCTAGAGAGGTCAGTGCGTCTGTTGGCATTGTTTATATAGCCATTCCGACTGGAATGTGATGAAATAGAAAAGCAGTTGACATTTTCATTCTCCTAGTGACTAAGGGTGTTGAACACTTGTTTCAAGTGTTTATTGACTGCATATATTTCTTTTGAGAACTTTTTTTTCAAATAGTTCATTATTGCAAAGTTTAGATAATATACTCAACCTGAATATGTGGGCATCCTACTAAAATTCTTAGAATATTAGATTTGATATTGAATGGTCCCAAGTTGTATTTTTTTATTTCGTTTTTATACCTTATTACAGAGATTTTTGAAGAGGTGTTGTTTTTTTTTACGGTGTACTTTTCTTTATTTATTTATTTATTTGTTTGTTTGTTTATTTATTTATTTTTTGTGGCAGTGTCTTACTTTGAAGCTCTCTCTGTCCTGAAACTCAAAGAGATCTGCCTGCCTCTGCCTTTCAAGTGCTGGGATTAAAGGCATGTGTCACCATGCCTGCATTAGGTTTTTTATATCAAGTAGTTATAGCTGGGCCTGATAGTTTATGCTTATAATCCCAGCACTGGGATGACAGAGTCAGGCTGGCTGTGAGTTTGCCGTCAAAGTGAACCACGAAGTGAGTACCAAGGCTACAGAGTAACACCCTGACTCCAAATTGTAAACAAAGCAAACCAGCTCTTATGTGCAATTGTTTCTGCAAATCTTCATGTTCTTTTTGATGGATGTGTTCATGTCGTTAGCATGGTGATGCTTTCATGTCAGAATTCATGAAATTGTACTTGAAATGTGTGATGCCATAACTCATACACCTCCAGAGAACTAGAAAAATGGTGAGTGGGGGATGTAGCGGAGCCTCACGTGTGTTCAGTTCCAAGTACCAGGAAGAACAGGAGGGCTTACTAAACCTTAATAAAGTAAGATAATAAAATAAAATGTCTGTCACATGTCCGAAAAAGTTTTTCTCTTTGTTAATTTGCTTTTAGAAGAGATGCATATCATATCAAGAAATGAGCTAGAATTGTATCTGATATTAGATGTGAATCAGTTTTTGTGTAATAAAGCTTTATTGTATCCTCCTATAACACAAAGAGCAAAGAATATATTTTCAAATAAACATTTGTAAAGTGCTACATTTTTCAGGGAATATAACCATAATCTATCAGATAGAAAGCCTGTGCTCAGCATCAGACTCTGCTGTACATGGACACATATAAAAATACTAGAACAGGGAGGGGGAGGGAAATGGGAGGCTGGGAGGAGGCGGATACTTTTTTTTTCTTATTCTCAATAAAATAAAAAAAGGATATAAAAAAATATTAGAACAAATTCTCTTAACAGTTTGAACCACATATTCAAGTAAGCCCAGGAAAGAATATTTACCTCTTTAAAGCATTAAAATTATATAGACATTGAAAGTTCCTCTTTTTTCTATTTGCTGAAGTTTCAATAGTTGTGATAGTGCCAAGTAAATGAATTTTAAATTAGAATATATTACGACCTTTACCAACTCACTTTTGTAAGCAACTGTAACAAAGTAGTGATATATATTTCTTGTATCCCCTAAATTTAAATTTGGAAACCTAACAAATTTTAATATTATGTGTTGCCATCAGGTGGCAGTCATACATTAGTTATGGTGACACAATACAGTGAATAGACTCATTCATGGCATAGCATCCCAGTGTGTAATTGTAAGAGAATGAAAAAAGAAACCTCATATGAGTACATAGAGGCATGGAAAGATTTCTAATTGCAGAATCTTGATGTAGAAAGACAAAAAGATAAGAACTAGAGTATAAGATTTAGTTTCCCAAATCTGTTCTTGAAATGGGTTTGTCACTTACTGCCTGTGTCTCCTTGGTTCCTCTTCCCATAGCCTCCTCACTGACTAAATGAAGATGTCTCCTCCATAGCCCTTTTAAGGTTTAAATCAGGGCCTTAGCACAGAGCCTCCTAAGTAAGATACTAGCAAGAAATACTACTTACTATAGGAATCAGGATGGTGAAGGAGAGAAGGGGAGCCACTTGCCGACTCTGGAAATCTAGTGGGAGCTAAAGAGAAGGAAGATTGCAAAAGATGAAAGAGGAGTCTTCTGAGGAGCAGGCAAAGAAGGAAGAGAGGGAAAGGAAAAGACTGGATATTGTGAAAATAAAGTATGGAAATGTTATAATAAACCTCTTTCTTTGTGTACTCAATATAATAAAATACATGCTTATACTTTATAGTCACCAGGGAAAATAAACTCTAGACAAACAGGCAGATATTTTCCTTCATCCTTCCTTTAGTGCTGAGAGAAACAGGAGATAAATAGGTGATTAGAGCACATTTGAAAGTAAAGGACACAGCACACCCTTCTCAGCAGGACCTTCCCCCACTGTCTCTCTCCAACATGGTTCTCTGACTTCCTCACGTGTGCTATGGCACAAATAAGTGTACACACACACACATTCTCAACATAATATGATTTGAACATGTAACATATTTCTCTTCCCTATATGTACCCAAATAAGATCTTTCCCCTCTCTTATTTGGCTTAATGGTGTTCCATTATCTAACAAAACCTTTTCATGATTAAAAATATTGGCAAAATAAGTCAGCAAATTCAATATATATTTATCAAGTACATTCTTCTATTGCATGCCAAAATATATTAGAGGGTATCTTCAAAACATACCTCCTCTGGCATCATAGTGCATACCTTTAATCCTAGCACTTGGGAAGCAGAGGCAGGTGAATCTTGGTGAGTTAAAGGTCAGCCCGGTATACATAGCAAGTTCCAGGCCAACCAGAGCTAAACAGTGAGAGCCTGTCTTAAAAAGGAAAATAAAACAGTTCCTGGGAAGGGGTATGATTTGTGTATAGTTATCCTAAGGCAGAATGCAGTGACCATTAGAACAGCAGTTACAAAAGCATGTGTTTCTATCTATCCATACTAGAAGCTACTGTTGCATGTGTGCTATGTTCTTCACAATGCCGTTGCACAAGTATTAAGTGCAATTTGAAAGTGCATCACCTGAAACTCAAAGTCAAATGCCCAAAGTCACAATGCTAATACATCACTCAGTTCATGGTCATATACTTGAATGCCTGACAAATTATGTAGATGAAGTTAGCCACCCAGGATTTCCCTCCGTTGTTTCCCATGTGTTGGGCACTATTCTGGATGCTGTAGACAAAGCAAATGGTACAAGTACTATCCCTACCTTAAGGAGGAAAAATGAGATCAGAATGTAAGTCTAAGTTTCTCAGTTGTGTTTTTTCTTTATTCCATACCATATAGAAATATAGTGATTTAGGAACACTGAAGGAAAGAAGCGTAATTCTCATGGGAATGGTTTTTGAATGCCTAGTGGAATCAGCATCCCTGCTTGCTAGTCTATACCAAATTGACTAATGGAACATACCTTGTTATCAATATTTCTTTTTGAAATTATTTAGGTTCGCAGATTTTCGGAGGCATTCTTTTGTTTTGAACATCCAAGAGAAGCTGCCATTGCATACCAAGAACTTCAGTAAGTAGCACAAATCCAAAATACAGATGATTGTTTTTTCTTTTACATAAGATGTCTTATCACAGAATTATTAATGACAAACTTCATAATATTTAAGGCAGAAGAAAAGGTTTAATTTAGGAATTTTTTTTTTGAAAGTCCCTTTCTGTTGAAGAAAGGTATAATGGACTTGCACTGTGTCCCCTTTGTTAGAACTGTGTAGCTCTGCTCTTCACATGCCATCGTCTTCCGTCCTTGCTTCCTCAGGTCAGAATAGCTCACACTCATCGCTTTCATATCGTGTGGTTGGCACTGCCTTCTGTCACATAGATGATACACAGTTCAGATGTCCAAATAGCTGGGCAGTCGCACCCAAGAGCTAGAGGCAGATGGAGGACTCTGTTTGAGGCCAGCTTGGTCTACAGAACAAGATCCAGAGCAACTCTTAAAAAATAAAACAAAACCTCCAAAACTTTGTTTGCCTTCCATCATTCCTACTGAATGTGGTTAGGTCTTGTTTTCGAGCTTTAAAGGGTTGCTTGAAGTCATTTCCCTGAGGAAAATAAGGCAGACACAAAGAAGTGAATACTGTATCAGTTTTTATATACGAAATTTTGAAGAAGCAAAACTCGTGTGAAGAAAGTCCAAACAGTGGTTCTCCTGGGGTTGATAGGGCTGGGAAATTAGGAAAAAAAAAAATGTGAGTAGATGGAAATATTTATTCTGTTGTGGATTTCTTTGTCAAATCATATAGGATATATTTCAGTTCATACATATTTTACTTACTAAAAACACTTATAAACAATAACTGTGGTCATAAGAGGTAGTCAGAGTTGAAGTATAAAAATGGAGCAGGTGTTAGCTGCTCACACTGGGTGATAGTGATAAGTAAATGCAGTTAACTACTCTATTTTGATTCTTTTGAAATTTTTGTTAGGAAATTTTTTCTTTTAAAAATTTTTGGATTTTTTTTTTTTAGTGTGTCTGAATGTTTTATCTGAATGTATGTATGTTCACCATGTGTAGGCCTGGTCCTATTGTAGATTAGAGAAAGGAGTCAGACCTCCTGGAACTGTAGTACATTAGTTACAGTTACATGGTTGCAAGCCCCCGTGTGGGTGCTGGGAATCAAAGAGGGCCTTTTACCAGAGCACTAAATGCTCTTAACCACCGAGCCTTATGTCCAAGCCCTTGAAAATCTTCCTGATCACTATTTTATATTAGGCTTTGTGTATCTTGTTTTAAATAGATGTTCAGTGTATTTATCAATATGTATTGGTAAAGCAGCCTTGTGAAACACACTTTTCCCTTGTGTTCTCATTAAGTAATTAGTAAGTAATTAGCATTGAACTTTTGATACTACGTTCATACAATAGAATAGGAATTAGCTTGTCAGCAAACTGTAATTTTATGACTAATTTATTAGTAGTAAAGCATAATTTTCATTTTGCCAGTTTTTAATCTCTGACCAAGAAACTTTTCCCAAGGACACTGTATCTTGAGGAAAGGGGTTAAGACTGGTGGGGAAGAGAACAGGGTAGATTTTAAAGTGGAGGTGGGTGTAATTATTTTTTCACTACAATCTGACTTAAGAATATTTTTCAGTGCTCAGAGTCATCTACAGATGTGCACCGCTATCAAAAATACTTCCTTCTGCAGTTCTCTTCCACCCCTACCTATTGAATGTAGTGAATTAGATGGAGATCTCAATTCATTACCTATAATCTTTGAAGATAGGTATTTAGATTCAGTTATTGAAGGTAAGTATAATCTAACTAAAATACATAAGCTATGTATGTCAATTTCAGCATATTCTTCCAGATATACATAAACCATTCCCTAATATTAAATCATTTCCCCCTCTAGTTTCATTTACTTTTGAGGAAATTAGAAAGTTGTAGTTAGAAAAAGTAGTCTCGATCCCTTGAACTTTCACACTTGTTGTAAACTGGAATCTTTTTTTCTTTGGATGAAAGACTTAGATGCGCCCTGGATGGGAATTCAGAGTCTTCAGATAACAGAGGCCAGTAGAATGGATAAACATGAGACTGAAGAGAGCTCTGTAGCAGGACTTTCTAGCCCAGAGTTGAAGGTCAGACCTGCTGTTGCCTCCAGTATTTGCTATACAGAAGGTGAAAAGCAGCTCACAAAATCTCTAAAAGGAAAGAATGAAGAAGCAAATAAATCCAAGGTTAAGGTCACTAAGCTCATGAAAACAATGAAACCAGAAAACACAAAAAAGTTAATAAAACAGAACTCTAAAGATTCTGTGGTTTTAGTAAGCTACAAATGTTTGAAAAATACAACATCAAGTGATCTCACTAAATGCTTTGAAGGCAATCCTTCACATAGTCAGGAAGAAGGTCTGGATCCCACAATATGTGGATATAATTTTGACCCAAATACCTACATCAGACAGACAAGTCAAAAGGAAGCTAGCACTTTGCCAGCTAATACAGACAGAACTGAACACAAGTCTCCAGATACTGAAAGTATGCAACCAGACCAGTTCGATCTTCTGAACTCTGGCAGCCTAAATCTTTGTGCAAATTTGTCCATTTCAGGTAATCTTGTCTCCCAAGACGATAGTGATATCTCACATGTGGAGCACAATCTGGCATTTAGAAGTTCATCAGGTGATTGCCATGACTATCGAACAACTCCATCTTCAGGAGTTAGAACACTTGAAGTCAAGCCCAGCAGTAAAGAGCCTTTCAGTGGAGAGAAAATAAGTGTTAAAATAGGAGCTTGGGCAGAGCTTCGAGAAGATGAACTATTTGTGGATAATTTACTACGCAGTTGTGAGTCCTCAGAATCTGATGGGAAATCCAAGTCTATAGAAATAACCCTTGGAAAGGATGCTTTACAGGAAACGAAGTCTCACTCTACTGAAGAATCATTAACCAAATTGAGAAGTCATCTACCTGCTCCTTCTACAAAAGAATATCATGTTGTAGTAAGTGGTGACACAATTAAGTTACCAGACACTAATGCCACATACGCTTCCTCTAGATTTTCAGACTCAGGTGTGGAAAGTGAACCAAGTTCTTTTGCAACACATCCAAATCCAGAAATACCCTTTGAAACTCTCCAAGGGCCAGGTCCTTATAATAATGAAAGATTATTTCCTCAGCTTTTGATGAAGCCTGATCACAATGTAAAATTTTCACTAGGAAGTCACTGCACTGAGAGCACAAGTGCTTTAAGTGAAATACAGTCATCTTTGACATCCATCAACTCCCTACCTTCTGATGATGAATTGTCACCTGATGATAACTCTAAGAAATCTGCTGTGCCTGAGTGTCATCTAAGTGATAGTAAAACAGTTTTAAATCTAGAAACGATGGATCTGCCAAAGTGCGATGATTCTAAAAAGTCAAGTATTCTTTTGCAGCAGCAATGTGTTGTATTTTCAGAGCATTTGGACAGTGAAACTTTAGCAATGCATTCCTTAAATCCAAGTAGTAAAGACCCTTTAGAACTTGTTTTCTCAGGTGAAGATACTGCCGGTGATGTGAAAAGTAGTTGTGACTCCAAACCTAATTTGGATATTGTGCTTAAAGGCTCCCCGAGCCATGATACATCTAATAACTGTGCAGAAACAGCAACAACACTAAGCTCAAAGCTGATTTGCTTAGGTACTCCTTGTGTTGTTTCAGGTTCCGTTTCTACTAATGCGGAGCTTAGTGAAGATAGGACTGTGGAAAAAAACCGTAGTGAGCCGTTAAATCACAAGCAAATACACTCAGAAACCCTTGTTATTGAAAATGACCCTCATCTGAGTCCAGATGACTCTATTTCCAATAGTACTGATGTGGTAAAACAAGGGCTTGTGGAAAATTATTTTGGATCTCAGAGCAATCCTGATATTTCTGACACGTGTGCTGTTAGCTACCACAGCTCAGTTAGCTCTCAGAAGGAAACCTGTGAAAAAGGAATTAGTGATCTTCAGCAGGAACAAGGCAAAGAAGAAGAGGAGGAAGAGGAGCAGGATCAACAAATGATTCAAAATGGGTACCATGAAGAAGCAGATTTCTCAGCTGCAGACGGAACAGTAAGTGCTCACTATGCAAGTGGAGATGTGCTACGAGAAGAGAGACACACACAGTGCGAGAGAGTGAGCAGCGACTATCTGAGGGCTGCTGTACCCGTTCCTGCTGTTTGTACTTCTGGTTGTTTGTCTTTCCCATCTGCTCCACGAGAGTCTCCTTGTGGTGGTAAATATCCTCCTAGAAGTAAATTTGATGCCATTACAAAGCAGCCAAGCAGCATTTCTTGCAACTTCACTTCTTCATCTTCCTGGTATGAAAATTCACCAAAACCTCAAATACATGCGTAAGTAATGAAACTCAATATTGTGTGCTAAGTGTGTATCTAGAACACCAGATATAGTGCCAAAAGATGGAATCTTTTTGTTCCCTCTGACAAAACATGCTCCTTTTTATTAATTGTTAAGATGATGAAATGGTACAGTATGGGCAGACCACTTCCATATCACCTGTTGTGTGGTTAGACACTTTGAGCAGCTTTCTGTCAGAAGTGCGCCATCACTAAGGTAAAACCCTGTATTTGTTAGTGCATCATTTCTCCCTATAACCTCAGGAAAGAGCTGGGCTTTATGAGTACATGTGAGAACTAGGGTAATATTGAGTAAGTGAATGACGTATTTGTAGGAACTCTTAAACATACCCAATCCTAGTTGCCTTGCTTAAGTCAGTAGTTTCCAGTAGCAGATTGATCTGTCTGCACTGGTTCCTAAAATCTACTTCAGCCTAGACCAAATCATGATCTGTGAGTTGAGAAGTCGGAACATTGTGTACAGTAGATTTTTAAAATTCACAGATCACTCTGGTTCATGTATAAACTTGAGATCTATAAAACTTAAAGCTAGAATGTGGTAACAGGGTCTTGAGACCCTTTCTCAAGAACAAACTAAAGTTGCTGCCACCTTTTGGGTTCTTCTTTTTTCTGGGGCACGAGAAAGCAAAGTCTACATGTCTTCACCCAGTGTGTACTACACAGACTACTCTTCGTCATCCCCTTCGTTTCCACCTTCCTCAGCCAGACGGGGGTCACGCAGATAGCAGTGCTGATGTTTAGTCTTCAAGCTCAGTTTGTTATCATGCCAGATCCTGTGTGCTGCCCCTTACAGCCTTGTGCCTCTCTTGGTGCTGCTCCTTACTGGTATTTTTAGGAAGGAATCCACCCTGCTTGAGTACCATACTCACTGTTGTGCTTTCCCAGAATGGCTTCTTTTAAATTGTAAGAGAGCAAAGAAGAAAAAATGTGATTACATGATAAATAGCAGATTGCCATTTTCCAGGACTTCTTTTAGCTATTCTGTGCATGCAGTATTAAGTTATACATAAGGCGTAAACCACTTCTGACATTTTCATAGCCAGTCCAAGGTTATCAGAATATTTTAAAGTGACTTCAGGCTTAAAGTGTTCATTTTTTTCTAATAAGAATATGTATTAAGAGTAGCAAAATGTTACCCTTTGATAAAGTCATTTAGATAACCCCATGTGGTTTCATAATTTTTACAAATATTGCTGAACTTACTTTTTCAGCACTTCTCTAAATTCACTATGTTCTCTTTGTGTTTCTTAAAACGGAGTGATTGATCTTTAGTAGTGAATATTTTCTGTAATATTTCACTTCAGCTTCCTTCAAGCAAAAGAAGAATTGAAGCAACTTAAGCTGCCTGGGTTCATGTACAGTGACGTTCCTCTGCTGGCACCCTCAGCGCCTTACTTTAGTGTGGAAGAAGAGGATGGTTCTGAGGACGGTGTGCATCTCATAGTCTGTGTCCATGGTTTAGATGGTACGTGTCAGCCATTGATGTACCCCATGACAACTCAATAACTTTTCCTAATAGGACATTTAGTTACCTGTAACCTTTTGAACTTGAAAAATGGTGAGTTGCTAAGATTAATGTATATTACATTATGAAACAAAAATATGCTTAAGTTTACTAAATGTAATATTAGATTTTCTTTTTTGTTGTTGGTTTTAAGTAAATTTGCCATGAATCTGACACTCATGTAAATGTTTTAATTTTTCTGTATTCTGGATGATTTTATCAACTACACCCTCAGCACTGTCCCTTTAATAGTTTTTCTATCCTCTTTTTACCTTCTTAACCTTTCAGACTGAAAAAAAAAAATGTTATGCTTACTAATCTAAGACCTCACTAACTTCATTCTGTAGTTTTGTGACAGTGACGGCTGCCATGGCTACTTAGGAGCTTTGTCTTTTTGGTTGATAAGCTGTTAGAAGAAGCCAACAGTTTCTAGATCAGCATTACAGAGTTTCTGTCCCACCCAACCCGGCAGCCATTAAGTCCCAAAGAATCATACAGAGGTCTACATTAATTTCAAACAACCAGGCCTATTAGCTCAGATGTCTTATTAACTCTTATAACTTATATTAGCTCATAATTCTTGTCTGTGTTAGCCACGTGGCTTGGTACCTTTTTCTGCAAGGCAGTCACATCTTGAGTCCTCTGCATCTGGGTGATGACTGCAGAGGGACCTTTCCTTGTCCCAGAATTCTCCTCTTCTCATTGCCCCACCTATACTTCCTGCCTGGCTACTGGCCAATCAACATTTTATTAAATAAATACAAGAAACAAATCTTTACAGGGTAAAACCATTGTCCCACAGTATATTACTGTAATTGTACAACAAATTATTTTATGAGATATAGAAATATTAAGCAAAGATCTTTTTTTAAAAGACCTTTCAAGAAATAAAATACATTCAATACCAACTTTTTCACCCTATCCTCAAATACTGAGATAGGAAAGATTATCTCCTAAAGAAGCCTTCTTCACAGTTGAACTCCTGGAAGATTTCCTTCAAATACGGATTGTCTGCATCACATCAGTTGGTTCAGAACAATAGGAAAGAGATGGAGTGCAGCCCATTCTTCGGTTACCTCAACTGTGGTACTAAATCTGGTGACAACAACATACCAACACCCCCCCTAAACATGATAAATAAAACTCTAGCTAGCAGCATCAATATATGGAATTTTATAACAAAATTTAAATTTCCAGAATACAAAAATAAATATAAAAAAATTTCTTTAAAATGTACTACATAAGTAAATTAGTAAGAGTAATTGATGAGGTGCAATAGCCATTTCTAGTGAATGAGTATGCACCAATGATTATGAGTTATTAAGTAGAACTACTCTGTAACCCATAAATGATTAATCGATTATATTTTTAAGCCATATAAAACTTATACTTAATAATAAAAGTAAGAGGTATTAACCTTAAAATTTGGAATAAAAAGGTACAATATTTTAATTAGGAAATATCTAAATGATAAATATTAAAAGAGTAAAATAAAATTGAACATTTGATAATAGTATGTCTATTTTGCTGATAAACCAAAGAAATCAGAACAATCCACTAGTTTTTTAAAGATGTTCTATATTTTATACCTATTTGTTGTTTTATATCTGACTTAAAAATATGTTTACAATGTATTTTTAGTTAACAATTGTTAAATTATCCTAGCCACCAGAGAAAATCTAAACTACATCAAGATTCGTTCCATGGTCAGCTAGGGCAATGGCAAAGAGTAGGTCAGTCATTTACAGATGCTGTATCCTCTTAGTCCCTAAAGTGGTGTGCTCTTAGGTAGATGAATGAACCAAAACATCTTAAGAAATAAACTTGATAAATAAAATAAACTTCAATAAACTTGAAAAGACATTGGCTGGGAACTCTTTTACACAATACATTGTTTATCAGCAAGTGGATTAAGACATGAACTTCCTGTTTCCAAAAACTGTAAAAATGCATGATAATGTGCATGGCATCTTTTACTTACCTCATCCTTTAAACGTCATTTTTCATCTTCTAGGAAACAGTGCCGATCTCCGACTAGTAAAAACGTACATTGAACTTGGACTGCCTGGGGGAAGAGTTGATTTTCTTATGTCTGAGAGAAACCAGGTAAATAGGCAGTATTTTTAGTGGCAGCAAATATTCTTGTGCCAGTTCCTACATTTTGCTTGCTGTAAAATGCCGGTAGTCTTGAAAATACTTTTCTGACTTTTGTGAAGTTTGCTACCAACTTATATGTTGAAGACGTATAAATGATATACCTTTGACTTACGAGTTCTCTTTTGTGTATGAAACATTCAGAGTTCACATTTCTATACAAAAATTTTATTAATTAAGCTATTCTTAGAGGCCTTACTTTAACAATTTAATACTGCTGGCCTAAGGCATAACTAGATGAAGCAAGTTCTGTTACAGGATACTGAGGTGCCTTTCCCTAGAAACTCTGCTCTTTTTAATACAGTGAATGCTACAGTCACTAACTTTTCTAAAAATGAATTTAACTATATTGATAATACCTAAATAAAATATAATATGATTATATTCTGTTTTTCATGTTTTGGTACACGTTTTAATATATAATATGTTTTCCTTTTATTTAGAATGATACTTTTGCTGATTTTGACTGCATGACTGATCGCCTTTTGGATGAGATCATACAGTATATTCAGATATATAGTTTAACAGTCTCAAAAATAAGGTAACATGTTATTACACAGTCTGTTCTACTTCTGTGACTTACAGAACTGAACAGTCTGAAGTACTGTTCACCTAATCTGAAGTATAGGAACTGGGGCTGGAGAGACAACTCAGCTGGTAGCAGTGCCTGCAACCAAGTAGGGCAGCAAGTATTCAAGCTGTAGGACCCAACGGTTCCAAGAGAGAACTGACATCCACATGGACACCATGGCACACATGCATGCATATAAATCCTCACAAAATAATTTACTTTAATAAAACATGGGGAACTAAAACACTAAAGGAAGGGAAGGGGGAATATATTAGAGCCAGGCAAATTGGCTCAAGGTAAAGTGCTTGCTATGCAAGAATGAGGTTCTAAATTGAAAGCCAGTGTGGTGTTGCACTTCTGTCAGTCTGGTACTGGGGAACCAGAGACAAGTAAGTGGACTCTGGAACTTGTTGTCAGTCGGCCTAGCCAGTTTGTGAGTTCTAGGTTCACTGAGAGATCCTGTCTCAAGAAATAAAGTAGAGAAAAATTAAAGAAGATAGTTGATGCCAGTCTCTGGTCTTCATATATGTATGCACACATATATATGTACCTATATGTACATGCATACAAGCATGTATACATGCATTCACCACTAAGGACAGATTGTATTGTCTTATAATATAAAGTGTTCTGAATAAGCTTTATAAACAGAAAATAGATTATGGTAGCAGATACTATATCTGTGCCTTTCTTAAATAGTCCAGTATCATATAATCATATACAGTAGCTACAAGAGTCACAAGTTTCCAACAGATTGAAATATTTGAAGAGATGCAAATGCTAGTCACCTTGATTTGCTGATGATATGATGTGTGTGTGTGTGTGTGTGTGTGTGTGTGTGTGTGTGTGTGTGTGTTTTGGACTGCCACATTTCAACCCACAGATATGTATAAATAACACATGTTTGTTAACATTTTAAAATTAGTTTTTCTTAAGTGTTTTGGGGGTGTATATGTACATGCAGATACACATGCATGTGTATTCACACACAAGGAAACCAGCGGACAGGTGCAGGTATCAGTCCTCAGGCACTGTCTGCCTTGTTTTTGAGACGGGCTCTCTTGTCATCACCAAGTAGACCAGACTGGCTGGTTAGCTGGCAAGCACCTAGAAATCCACCTGTCTTTAAAGAACATTCCAAATTCTTAGTATTTCAAAATAATCTCTGGTGTATCCGGTTTGGAAGGTTTCTTCTGGGTTTTGTTATTGTTGTTACTGGTTTGTTTCTCTCTTTTAAAAAAAATTGAGAGAAATTATGGTTTCTGTTTCTTTCTTACAGCTTTATTGGACATTCATTGGGCAACTTAATAATCCGTTCCGTACTTACAAGGCCAAGGTTTAAATATTACCTCAGCAAACTTCATACTTTTCTCTCTCTTTCTGGGCCTCACCTTGGCACACTCTACAACAGCAGTGCTCTCGTTAATACAGGTAAAAGCTTTTTGTTCTCTATAAAAAAATATGACATGGGCAGATATTTTAAATATAGTTTTAGAATTTTTTGCTATTTATTTTTAGAGCCAATTTTCCCACACTTGAAGTCTCATAAAATGGAAGATAAACCTAGTCTACTTTGTTGTGTATATTTAATAAAATAAAGTAAAATAAAATAAAATAAACGTAAAGTTAATAAAAAAAATTTCAATGTTTGCTCACAGCTCTTCCCTGTGTGCTAGCCTGGCCATTTTTCTGAGTTCTAATTCAAGCTTAACTTGGGGACTGGAGAAATGGCTCAGCAAGTTAAGGGCACTCTTTGCTCTTGCAGAGGACCCGGGGTTGGTTCTCAGCACCACGTGGTTTCTCACCCAGGTCCCGAGACTCCCAACAGGCCTGCTTATGGTGCACATGACTACATGCAGGCAAGCGTTCGTACTCATAAAATTAAGTACATTTTTAATTTTTAAAGCGTAACTTCACCTCTTCCCCATTCCCGATCTCTGGATTGCAGTCAGAACCCCAAGTACGCTTGCACTGATACTCCTGTCTTGCCACTGTCCACCTCCCTCTGTACAAGCTGCATGCAGACCTCCATTGCTGAGTATGCCTGCTTTCTTGGATCTGTCTTAGTCCCATTTCCTATTGCTGCAATCAGATATACCCTGACAGAAGCAGCTTAAGGAAAGAGGGTGTAATTGGCTCATAGTTCCAGGCTGTAGTCCATCACAGCCTACCATACCTTCACCATAACTACCGATAGACTAAAAACTCAGTTCATAGGCATTGGATCTGCTGTGGTTGAGGCTTTCCTCCCTTTGCTTCCTTATCAAATGATATAATGTCCCCAAGTTTGTTCTTTGTATATTATTCTGTATTTTGTTACTAGCAGAATGAGCCACCGTTAAGCTGTGGTTAATGTGTACTTGCAAATATGTTTAGAAGTGCTTGTAAATATCAGAGAATAGAAGTACTTTGCAAATAAGTTTTTATTAGCCAACAAAATGTTAATGTATGATGTGATGTCTTTAAATGAGTAGATATGAGCATTAATAACTTTAGCATATATTACTCTTTTATATTTTCACATATCATATTCAACTTTCTAGGTCTCTGGTTTATGCAGAAATGGAAGAAATCAGGCTCTCTTTTACAACTGACATGCCGAGATCATTCAGACCCTCGCCAAACGTTTTTATATAAGCTTAGTAATAAAGCAGGTAAGTATTTAGCAACAGTTTAGAAGTCAGGCTTATAAGCTAGCAGATTATCAGGTCTTTCTGTTGATGAGAATATATCATTCAGCTATAATTTGAGAAAGAAATAGCAGAATCTAATGCTAAGCTATTAGATTAGTTTTTAATTTCTTAACAGGAGATATTGATAATCACCGTTCTCTCTGGCAGTGTGCAGAGTATTTTCTAGTACCATGAACACTAGTCAGTGGAAGTAAAGGCTCTAGGTAGGCACCAGCTCAACCTCTCTGTGTCTTATGACATATGTAAGTGTTACCGTCAACAGTAGGCGTTACCATCAGGTTATGGAGCGCATCCAATACCCTTGGCAATAGTCTGTGATGTGTAGGGGTTCCGTGGGTCTCCTTGGTCAGTGACCCAACAGTATTTAATCTCTTCCTGGCACTGGAGGTTTTACTTGGTAGAAAAAGATACCTAGTGGGGTATTGTTTGGTGACTTTATTAGGATCCCTTTTGTATGTGTGTATAGTTTACAAAGCTTCTACAGTAGTAGGTTTCCAGATGGTTATTTAATGGTCTTTTAGTGTACATTATTCATCCCAGTATTCCATTCTTTGCCCTTCTCTTCCACCCCGCTTCCTGTTTAATCTTCCATTCTAGTTTTTACTTTGTCTCTCCACGACAGTATATTCTATTTCCTCGGAAGATCCTCTTTACTAAGTACCTGACCTCTGTGTTTATATGGATTACAGCATATATTGAAAGCTTAAAAGCAAACATTCACATATAAGAAAAAAACATACAATATTTGTCTTTGGGGGACTGGGTTACTTCACTCGATTTTTTTTTTAATAGCTCCATCCATTTACGTGCTTATTTTTCTTAAGAACTAAATAATACTCCCATCATGTAAATGTACCGCCTTATATTATTTATCCATTCATTAGTTGATGGACATCTAGACTGTTTAAAACTTTCTGACTGTTATAAATAAAGTATCAGTGAATATGTTTAAGTAAATGTCTCTGTAGCAGGGTGAAGTATCCTTTGGATATATACTCAGGAGTAGTATAGCTAGATCTTGATGTAGCTCTATTCCCAGCTTCCTGAGGAACTGCTGCACTGATTTCCACAGTGGCTGCATAAGTTTGCACTCTCACCAGCAATGAATGCATCCCCTCCTTTCCCCACATCCCCACAAACATGTGCTGACATTTGTTTTATTGATTGTGGCCATTCTAACTGGGGAAAGATGAAATCTCAAAAGTAGTTTTGACTTGCATTTCTCTGATGACTAAGGAGGTTGAACATTTCTTTCTCAGCATTTGTGTTCATCTTTTGAGAACTCTGTATTTAGTTCTAGACCCCATTTTTAATTTTAACTTTTCTTCTTGATGTTCGTTTTTTAGTTCTTTATACATTTTAGATAATAGCCCTCTACAGACATGTATTAGTAAAAATCTTTTCCTCTTCCATAGTCTTTTGCTTTATACAAATGATGGTGTTCTTTGCCATATAGCAGCTTTTCAGTTTCATGATATCCCATTTATTGTTGGTCTTAGTGCCTGTGCTATCAGTGTTCTGTTCAAAATGTCCTCTCCTGGTACCAGTGAGTTCAAGCCTACTCTCCAGTTTCTGTTAGATACAGGATATCTGCTCTCATGCTGAGGTCCTTTCAGAGTTGAGTTTTGTGCAGGGTGTTAAGTAGGGATCTATTTGCATTCTTCTAGATACAACCATCCAGTTTGGCCCGCAGCGTTTGAGAAAGATACTGGCCTCTCCGCTGTGTATTTCTGGCTACTTTCTCACAAATCAAGGTTCCATAGGTGTGTGAACTTCTGTGTAGGTCTTCAGTTCAATTCCATTGATCATTGTGTCTTTCTATGCTAATCCTATGTTTATTTTTTATTGTTGTTGTTATTACTATAGCTCTGTAGTATAACTTAAAATCAGCAATTTTGTACCTCCAACAATTCTTTTATTATTTTTAGAATTGTTTTAGCTATCCTGGTTTTGTATTTTTGTATGAAGTTGAAAATTTTCTTCTCAATTTCTCTAAAGAATTGTGTTGGAACTTCAATGGGGATTGCATTGGATCTGTATATTGCTTTAGGCTGGCCATCTTTACTATGTTAATCTTTTTGATCCATGAACATGGGAGATATTAATTCTTCTGGTGTTTTCCTCAGATTCTTCTTCAGTGTCTTAAGTTTTTATTATAAAATTCTTAGTTTTGTTTAGTTAGTAATCCCAAGAATTTATTTTTTATGCTATTGTGGAAGGTATTGTTTCCCCAATTTCTTTATCAGTCTGTCATTTGTATATTGGAAAGCTACTGATTTGTGTATGTGTGTGCTAATTTTATACTCTGAAACTTTGCTGAAAGTGTTTGTCACCTGTAGAAGTTTTCTGATGGTGTTTTTAGAGGCTTTTTTTTTAAAATAGAAATAGTATCATCTGCAGATAAAGATACTTTGACTTCTTCTTTTCCTTCATAATATAATAACCATTGAGGCAAAGTACAGAAATGAACATTGTTGAATGAGCCTGCCAGAAGCTATGTAATGCACAGCTCCAAGAATTGTTTCCCTGTGGATTACAACATAAAAGCATCCTCATACTTATACACTGTTTGTAGCCCTTTGTGAAAAAGCTTTTAGATAAGTTATCAAAGTGAATTGTTCTGACGGTACATGACAGTGTCTTTGTAGCTTGGGGTAACTTTTCAGTAATGTTATTTTATATTCAGAATGTATGATCTCTAGAACTGCTTGTACACATGGCTGATAAATTTAAGATATAATTTTCATATTTTTGTTTACCTCTTTTTTAAAAAGAATTGGAAGTCAATATGCCCCTGTATAGTTGTAGACTAATACCTAATTTTTTTCTAGAAGTATGTTATGTTTTCTACATGTTACCTTATCTATGTATTAATAAAAATATGTCTCCACTTAGTCTGTTGGAGTTACAGATCTAGCACTCATTCAATTTATGAAAAATGTGTCTCCCCCCCCAAAAAAAAAACAATTTGCGAAGCCATTTTTTATTGTCAGAATCAAATCTACTTAATTTTGATAAGAAAAATTTTATGTTGTACTGGAATCTCCAGAAACTTATGCCCTAGAGTTGTCCATAGTATTCAGATCTAAAACTGAGCCGGACAGTGATGGCACATGCTTTTAATCCCAACACTTCAGAGACAGAAGAAGGAAACAGGTGGATCTCTGTGAATTCAAGGCCAGCCTAGTCTACAGAGGTAGTTCTAGGACAGCCAGGGCTATATAGCGAAACTTTATCTCATAAAATAAAAGCAAAAAATCTAAAACTGATGAAATATCTTGCCCTTACAGAGTAGGAAATGAACATGCTAGGACTGGAGAGAGAGGTGCCTCTCTGGTTAAGGGTACTTGCTGCTCTGGTTCAGTTCCCAGCACCAGCATGACAGCTCACAAACATTTGTAACTCTGGTTCCAAGGAATCTGATACTCTCTTCTGACCCCTGGGGGAGCCAGGCATGGATGTGTTATAGCATATATGCATGTGGTGAAATAGTTACACATAGCAAATACAAATAAATCCCCCCCCCCTTTTTTTTAAGTGGGAAAAGAGCAAATTATTCATAGAAAAGGCTGAGATCTGGACATGAGTGTTCATCACCCTCTGCATGCCCATCCACTTACGGAGACAGGTTATCTGGGGAGTGACCATAGTTGGTCTGCAGACCTGGGCATCGGGGTATTTTCCTATCTGATGATGCCGAAAGTGGAACAAATTTGATTCATCAAACATGGCAATGAAGAAGGCAATTCTTTTTTTCAATGTTTTTATGAAATATATGTGTATGTATGTGTGCAGTTGATTAATTCCCTTATAGATAGTTGGTTGTTTACATTACAGCTTGAGTATTCTGTTTTTTCAACCTGTCACTCAAAACATGGGATAACATTTCATGAGGAAAGGGGAAGAATGGCCTTACTTTAGTAAACACGATTATCTATAATGAGTGTTGCTGGTCTTTATAATAGACCTAACCTTTTCAGAGTCATGGTCCTTGAGTTTCAAGAGAAAAAGAGATGTCTCCAAAGTCTTGCATTTAGTCAGCAGTCATCGTCACAATTAGCTTATCCTAAGACTCTGACTCAGCGTAAAATACCAAAATTTTACTGTGAAATAGTATAGAACAAAACACCATGTCTGCATACTCAAGTTGTGATACATTACCATCATTTTATTTGATAATCACATAAATTTTTATTTATTAATAAGCCAAATAGCAAGTTGAATATGATGATGTTAAAATACTTTTTGAGTTCAATCACAAAAGTAACCCATGGACTTAACCTGAACTTGCCTTCTTTATAAAGAAAAAAGTGTGTGGGAGGGTGACAAATTGTGACTGGATCACAGTATCCATTATTATTGTCACTAAGAAGATCAAAGCAGCTGGCAGTAGTGGCTCACATCTTTAATCCTAGCACTTGGGAGGCAGAGGCAGAGAGATCTCTTTGAATTCAGGGACAGCCAAGGCTACAGATAGAAACCCTGTGTCAAAAAAATCAAAAGAAAAAAAGGGAGGAAGGGAGGGAGATAGTGGGGGGGGGGAGAATCAAAGCATGTGTTCTCTTCCCCAAGTCAAATAAGCAGACTATATGAGTGGTGATAGATGTTAAAAGGAAAAACTTAAGAAAAATGTTTAAATGGTTTTAAATGGAGTGGTCTGGGATTTTTATGGAAGAATATGACTTTGTTTCTTCAGATTATCCATAAATATTGCCTTCTGGAAGGAAAGGCCATCATAGATTTAGATTCTCAGTCTCCCCATGCCACCGTGCCAGAGTCGCTGTGCTCTCATTAAGTGCAGGCGAGCACTGGATCTCCTTGAACACAGCAGTTGCATGCACTGAAGTGACTTTTCTGAGAGCAGCCGGAAATCTGAAGGATGGAATCATGATGTATTTTAAAGGTCATAAATATACTACTGCTGAGGAAATTTAATTTTATTTATTACGATACTAATAAATTTACATCTGGTTAAGTTTTGTATTCTAATTCTTTATTTTCTACCTTTAGGGCTTCATTATTTCAAGAACGTTGTGCTGGTAGGATCGCTACAGGATCGTTATGTTCCTTACCATTCTGCCCGCATTGAAATGTGTAAAACAGCTTTAAAAGACAAGCAGTCAGGTAATGAGTGTGTGTGTGTGTGTGTGTGTGAGTGAAGTTTTCCCGAAATTTATCACCAAGTCATGTCTTTCCCTTTCTTCCCCTCCTCTTATCTAAGGCTAGTCTTCTCCATATTTTGCATATTTTCCTCTTCTGCTGTCTAGAAAGTTGTGTGAACTTTGGATCCCCCTCCGCTGTTGGGCTTGGTTGTCGTGGTAGTGCTTGTGCTTCCTGTTTTCTGTCACCACTTAGGTGAAGATGGCAGCAAGGGTGCCCCTGTACAATACCCCTGAGTGCTCTTGTTCCTTTGCTGCTTGTGGCATCAAAGGTAGTGGAAGCTGCTAGGCAACCTCAGTCTTGTTTGCTCATTTAGTTACTAAAGCTCAAAGATACTTCATGGTTTATGCGAAGTCACTGTTGACAAATACAGGCTTAAAGTAAGCATCGATCTTCTACCTCCCAGCATTGTCTTAGCTGCTTTTTAGACACTTGAGCCTTTTCTTTTTGCACACCAGCTCCTTAAGGTAGGGGCTTTTAATTTGCATGTGTATTGGCAGAGCCTAGCATGGTACTCCCTGTCACCTTACTGTGCCCTCAGAATAAGTTGAGCCTATATAAGGGAAAACTACAAAAGCTATTCAGATGGATAGCCAAAATGAAATAAAAGTCTTTTACCATGAGATTCTATTCTAAAAGTCTTCCTTATTAAACATACTTTGAAAACCAGCGGGGACTCAGAAAACCAGTTTGAGTCCCAGTAAAACCTAAGAGGAAGGAAGGTTATGAAAAGATTTGATTGTAGTTTCTTTGCTTTGTGCTTTTTCTTTGGTTAACTTATGTGTTATTAGTCCTCTTTTAAATGCCTGCTTCTTTGCTTTATTCTTCTATATACTGTTTCCTTCCTGTCATTCCTCAGTACTACATCCTATTTCTGAAACATGAAATCTACTGTGCTTAAATTGCCTGCTTTCCTGAGAACTTTAGCTACTTATAAGGCGTATAGAAGCATTATAAGCAATATTTTGTACCTTATACTAGTTTGTATACTTGTATATGTACAAACATGATATATCTCGTCTTTGTCTTTTTTACTTAACATGACCTGCTAAATCCATTCTAAGAATTAACTAAAGAAGGAAGGGAGGATAGGAGTCCAGCTTTGAATTAAAGCTGATTTGGAGTTTTGTCTGTTTTGCATACAAAGAAGTGGGCTTCATTTTGACATTTTTGTACCTTTATTTCTTATCTATGCCCCATATGCCCTCTCCCGCCCTCCCTCTTCCCCTCTTTCTGGTCCCCTTCCCCTCTTCTCTTTCTCTGAAGCACATATTCTGTTATTCTCATTCTCTCCCCTTCCCGTCTGACCTCCTCTCACCTCTCATAGTTCCCTTTCTGAAAACAAAATTAAGGAAATGTGGCGCATATTCCGCTATAAAAATGAATGGCATCCATGTGAAATGGATAAATCTGCGATCACCATGTTAAATGAAATAAGCCAGGTTCAAAAGGAAAACACCATGCTTTCTTCACATTAAAATATAAATAGAGAGCAGGGAAAGTGGAGGACTCGCTTAAAACTTAAAAGTACGGTGTAGAGCTTTAAAAATGCTAGCCAACCACTTCGACCACAGAAGCGCACTCTTCAAGACAGCTCAGATTGTTCTGACAAGAGGAAGTTGCTGTTATTTGTCAAAATATTGTAGAAATATTATCTGCCATACAATTATTTTTAAAGTACTTGCTACAGTATAAAGTATTTTATTTTACCATATCAAAATATTTTGTCACCAGCTTACTTTCTTTGCTTAGCAAATTACTAGTGACTAAAGTTAAGGAAAACTGCTTTATATGCATTGTTCTGAGTTAAAAATGGACAAATATAGTGTATAATAAATTTGAACTGGCCAAGTAAGGTATTATGATTACTAATATTTCCTATAAAATAATCTCAAAATAATAGCTGAAGAAAAGAAATTGATACTTTTCTGCTTTATGTGAAAACAATATAAATTTTATAAATTAGAGGGAAGTTGACAGACTTTCAGATATGCAAATAACTTTCCTTTTTGTCTACTTTCTAGGACAAATCTATTCAGAAATGATCCACAACTTACTTCGCCCAGTTCTGCAAAGCAAAGGCTGTAATTTGGTTCGATACAATGTCATTAATGCCTTGCCCAACACGGCTGATTCGCTCATCGGGAGAGCTGCACACATAGCTGTCCTCGATTCGGAAATATTTTTAGAGAAGTTTTTCCTGGTTGCTGCCCTCAAATATTTCCAGTAGGACAGAAGCATCATTAGAGACTTACCAATTACCTCATTCAGCAACGATTTAAATAATGTATTATAGTGTGTAGATGTTAAGTTCTAAGACATATTTATACCTTTTTATATGGAAGATAATTTATATCATCCATGTGTAGAGCCTTTTAAACATCAACTTTACTTTCTAGGTAATGTGGCTGTGCAATATTTTTTTAATTTTATCTTTTTACTTTTCTATTTTTCATATGTTTTGCTACCTAAGTATTTCAGTGAAACTTTGAGCCCATATGTATGTCTGATCATTTATTATTGGCTTCCACAATTGTTATTCAGACTACATCACGTTAAAGGCTGTTAGGATAGTATAGGATTTTAAATTTTATAATTTGGGGCTTTTAGTGGACAATAAATTTTACTTTTAACACTTTATTCTGTTTTAACTGGAAATAAAATGGCTGCTAAAATGTATTTTTGAAATCAACCTCTTTAATCCTAAAATACTAACTTTACATTTCCTCAAACCAGGTGGTTCATACATGCCAATGTTTTAAAAGTTTTCTATAAAGTCATTATTGTTGCTATTAAACGTGTCATGCTTATTAAAATATATTTTTACTGGTCATTTCAACATTATTTCTCATACTGACTTTTATTCCTGGACTTTTCTTGTTCATTAGGAGCTTATAAAGATTTCTGAATGCCCTCTGCCTTGATTTGGTTGGAATTTTGTTAAATTTAGTAATGTTGCTTGAATTTCTCACAGCAGTTCTTTAACCCTTTTCATAGAGTTCCTTCTATGTAATAATTAAATGTTGAAATTTATGAAATACTTTTATGAATTTAGATAATTTTTAAATACTATTAAAATTTATCGAGCTAAGAGTCATGTAAATAGAGTTAAAATTGAGAGATGATTAACTTTACATGTTTGGTGATACCGATGCAGATGTTTTTGATATATGGAGATGTTGAGTCTTTTGACTTTACAAACGGTGCTGAACAGCATTCACTTCACTACCCCCTCCTGTTTTATTTGTGAAAATAATAATGTGCTACAGGTGGATGGAAGGTCTGTTTACATTCACCACTTGTAGTGGGCAATGGTTTTTGTTAAGTCTGTATTATGTATAATTGGTGCATGTTTATTTTTAGTATGTTAATTGCCTCTGATGTTAATAAATGAGAAAATGCCTTTCTGGAGGAATAGCGGTAACATTTGTGATGTTTTTCTTACTCTTAGAATCCTTGGAGATGCAGCAGTGGCCTGTGTAATACTCTGTGAGCAGGATGAGTTATACTGTGGCATATCCATCCATCCTCCATGTGTCATAGGCTAGTACCTTCTCAGTTTACATAGCATGCCCTGATACCTTCTTAGAAGGTGTCCTCACCATTAAGTGATAAGTGGCTGCCTATGCTTTCATTCATAAGTAGATATACTAATCTTTCATATTCATCAAGTACTGAAAAGAATTTCATTGATCATATTTGATAACTATTTACTTTTTAAAAGTTATTCAAGTTTTTATGAGTTGAACTAAGCATTAAATATACCAAAGTTATAACTGGAAATATAAATATATCCGTTATCAGCCACATATTTTCGCTATATATTTTTCGTGTTTGTATAGGTTGGTTTTCAGTTCGAAATACGGATCTTTTTAAGTTTAAATGCCTTCTGCCTTGACAAAGGCCTCATTCATAATCATAATAATCATATTTAAAGGAAACTTACTCTTAGGATCGTAGTTCATTGGATTTTGGTCATTTCAAAACTATCTTAATGTAATTATTTCGGTGATTTAAAATCTAATGTTTAATTTCTGATTTATCAGGAAAATCATTATGTATCGTTTACCTCCATAAGGTGACATTCCGAAAGAGCGGGACCATGATTATGCGACATGGCACAGTTGACTCGCAGAATGAATCTTATCAGTGGGTACCAGAATAGTTCTTGGTTGCAAACAATGAATGGTTATGAGTAACTTAACACAGAATAAAAGAATTTATTGAAAGAGTAGCAGGTGCCTCGAAGAATTGAAGAAAAGACTAGAGAACAGGATTGGATGACAAGCCAAAGGGAAGTGAGATCCACACTCCCATCTGAACTCTGAACCTGAGAAGAGTGAAAGAAGACCTGTATGCTTGCTGCAGGCGGGGTGGGGGTAGGGGGCTTTTAGGACTGGCTCTCAACTCTGCCCTCTAGATTCAGTCTGGTGGGAGTACCAGGTGACCACAGCCAGGTTTTGTGCCAATGCTAGGGTCATGAAGGACAGCAGATGTACCTGACCCTCTGAGTTTTCAAAATAGGAAAGGGCAATTCTAACAATAATCCTGCTTTTCTTGCAAAGTATCACTTTAGCTTCGTGAAGACTTATAGGGACTTCCTGAGTAGTGTGGTCCAGTGAAGATGTTTAACTTTCAAAACATAACTTGGTCCAGAGCCCTAGCTGGAGTACCTTGGACAAATTCTTTGATTTAAAATAGTTATTTAAACCTCATCTCTGAGAAAGACAGAATGATACTGATTGAGCACAAAACACAATTTTATTTTGGTGGTGCGGGGGTAGGTTTTGAGGCAGGGTTTCTCTGTGTAACATTCTAACTTCAAAAACTCACTTTGTGACCCGGCTGACCTCAAACTCATAGAGATCCACCTGCATCAGGCTCCCAAGTGCTGGGATTAAAAGCGTGCATCGCCATGACCAGGCTAAAACCCAAATTTTGCTCTTTCCCTTGTAAATGTGACCATGCCAATGAGCCTTGCCAACTGCTCTCAGGGAGAGCCAGAATCAGTTTCCTAAGTCTTGGGGCTACCTTGTCCCAGAACAACTAGGTTGTCCTTAGGTTCTAGTCTGAATAGGAAAAGTGAGTAGGGTACTGGGGGTGTAGCTCAGTGGGTAATGTGCTTGCCTAACATGGGTGTGGTGGCACGTGCCAGTTTGATCTCAGCCTTTAGAAGCTGGAGCAGGATCAGAAGGTGATGATCATCCCTAGTAGTAGGTGGAAGCCAACCTAGGATATGTGAGACCTTGACTTTTCAAACAACGTTCTGTGAGTATGACAGTGTACCAATTATTGACCTAGTTTTCTGTTTTTTTTTTTAATTTTTTATGTGTATTGGTGTTTTGCCTGCATGCATACTACTTGGTTGCCTGCACAAGCCAGAAGAGGGTGTCTGAGTCCCAGGAATTGGAGTTACAGATGGTTGTGAATCACTTTTGGGTGGACCGAGAATCAAACGTGGATTCTCTGGGAGAGCAGCTAGTAGTGCCCTTAATTACTGAGCCATCTCTCCCTATGGGCCTAGTCTTAAAAAGCGTTCCCCATCATCTCATGTTAACCTGCAAGATTAGGTGTCATGAGAAGAGAACCACAGTGCCCAGTAGACAGGGAGCTTGCCCAAGAAACAGCCCCCAAAAGAAGAGTGGTCCATCAGGGCTCAGCCCAATCTGGGCTCAAACTGAAAAGTTCAAGCACAAATAATGTATTTGACAGCTAACCAATAAATAATTCAGTGCATATAGATAGAATGCCAAGACTTGCTTATCTGAAATTAGCTTGATAAGAATTCTGCATATTATATACCAGTAACTGTTTTCCTTATATTAATGCTAAATCCTGTTAGATTATTTTTTAATTCTAGAGCAGTGGTTCTCAACCTTCTTAATGCTGTGACTGTTTAATACAGTTCTTCATGTTGTAGGACAGAAAATTATTTTGTTACTTCATAACTGTAGTGTTGCTACTGTTATGAATCAGAATGTAAATTATCTGATATGTTGCCTGTGGGGGTCACAACCTACAGGTTGAGAACCACTGTTCACTAAAGAAATGCATGTAGACTGTACACAGGTTTAGGTGCTAATGGTTCCTCAAGGCTTAGTAACAAAACTGTATTTAATAATTTCAGTTGGTCACATTGAAATAACATTTTTTTTATAATTTAAGAAAGTTGAAAAGGGGCCATTAATGCCAAGGATTCACCAACCATATAAAAAGTTTCATAATAGCACCAATTAAAAAACATTAGCCAAACACTCTACATGCCTATAATCCTAGTGGCCAGGGAGACTGAGATAGGACAGACAGGCCTTCCTGAAGTACTCAAAATCCTATCTCAAAAGCTTGTGTGAAGCCCTGGGTTCAAACCCAATATCACTAAAAATAATGTCTGATTTGTGGCCCCTCTTTTGTCTTTCACATCCACTGCTCTCCATTTTGCATTTAAAGTGCTTCCTCCCGGGATGTCTGTCATCCACTTCTTTGTTTGATGATCAGTCTAAAACAACAAATCAGATGTCATAAAATTAGAACCCTAACCATCACTTTATATATAATAGTCTTGGTTACTGTTCTTTTACTTTGAAGAGACACTATGACACTATGAACTCTTAGGAAAGAAAGTGTTTATCTGGGGACTTTACGGTTTTAGAGAGTTCTCTGTGATCATGATGGCAGGAAGCAGAAAGGCGTAGTGGAAGAGTAGCTGGGATCTTTGCATCCTGACCCACAGGCCTCAGGATGGCACTGAATCTAGCAAAGGCTTTAGCAGCCTCAAAGCTCATCCCATTGACACACCTGTCCAACAAGACACCTCTTAATCCTCTCCAAAACAGTCTACCAGCTGGGGACCAGACGTTCAGATATATGAGCCTAGGGGAGCCATTCATATCTACACCACCACATCCCGGCCCCTGGCCATCAATAGTTTATAGTCCAGCTTCAAAAGTCCCCATGGTCTTTGAGTTGCAATACTCTTTCCAAAGTCCATGTCTCTTGAGACTCAACTGTCAAATCAAAAAGCAAATCATATACTCCAGCACACAGTGACACAGAATATGCATTGATATCCTTCATGGGAGGCAAGGGGACAGACGTAAGGAAGCATCATCAGAACAAACTCCAGATCCTATATCTTTGTGTCCTATGGCAAAGGACTTAGATGACTCTTCCTCCCTTCCATCTTTGCTGACTGCAATATCTACTATCTCCGGTTGATGCTACAGTTTTCCCTGACAGGTGTCCCACAGCTCTGGCATCACCAAACAACTTGGGGTCTCCAAGAAAATCCAGGCTTCCCCTCCACAGCTTCATGAAATGACTGGTTCTCTCCAGGCCTCCATGCAGGACTCCCCTGCCACAAGCATGGCCTTGTTAACTAGAAAATTCCGTGTCCCTTTTCTGTGTCTTCTGAACACTAACTCCAGAACCATGTGGCCCTAGATGCCAAAATCTGTTTTCTGGTGCTGGAACCTGGCCCCTCCTTGAATTATATTTGCATAAACTTTACAATGTTGATTTTCTTTGTTCCTTAAACTTTGCTTACTCTATGCACCAGTTGGAGACTTAGCTGGGTGGAGTCTTGCCCTGAGACAATAAGGTGTTCCCTTCATTCCACTTTGACTCAGTCCTTTAAACTTGTGTCCCCTTGAGCACAGGGCTTGGCTCCAACAGGACATTCCCCAGTACCCTTTTGCTCCTCAAACTGTCTATACATTTTGTATTTCTCTTTACAGCCTGATCCACAGGCAGAGAGTGGCACTGAGCCTGGCTTGGGCTTTTGAAACCTCAAAGTTTGAAACCACTCCCAGTGACAACCTCCAACAATCTCCTAATCCTTCCCAAAACAATCAACCAACTTGTCCCCAGACCATTGCATATAGGAGCCTAGAGGGGCATTCTCATTCAAACACCACCACGACTACTATGGTGAAAAGACAGAAAATGGCAGTGTTCTTGCCATCTTCCTTGATAAGAAACTATTAAAAATACAAATTCTGGTCAGGCATCACACACATCAATGAGAGACCAAAGGAATGATGTCTCTCCTGTCAAGACTGGTGAACCAGGAGCATGGGTAACCCCCAAACAGCCACATACCCTAAAAGCCCCACACCAGCATGGATGACAATGTTCCCATAACTACATTAATGGACTTCTGTCTAGTTCTCATTCTATGTTTGTATTCTCTTAACATTTTCCAAGACCTTGTGTAACTGGGGCAGAATTACAGGCTTCTGGAAGAGGCATGGGGGAGAGTGGCTAGGATCTCGGGGTAGTCTAACCAGGGAAAGCTAACAGCCCCAGCTGTGTAGAGTAACTCTCTCGTGCTTAAGGTAATGATCTGCTCTTGGTGGACAACACTCCACAACACTGGTACACTGGGAAATAATAGGCAGTGACAGTTTATGGTAGAATGTCTTCTCA